GATATTTATCACTACTTACCCCGGAGCACACCTAGTCATGGTTGCTCGGGAATTGTGGGCAAGACTCAGCAAACGTGTCCACGGGTAAACCCTACATGAGTCATAGTCTAAACTCCTACTATCCCCCTTAACAACCCCATAGTAGTCCCATATATAACTCCCTGTTTGAGGAGTATAGACTCCAGCTCACATATATATATATATATAAACATATATAAACCCTTAACTGAATCACTGGTTGGTCTACGACTCTGGCAGTAGGTGTGGGTTTGCGATTTTGCTTGTCTAAAACTACCTGAGACAACCACACGTACTGTCGCTACTTTGATGAGACCACTCCTACTGAAACAGCCGCAAAACAGGGACTTCTGCTCTGCAGACCCCTGTCTATATACTCCGCGAAATCCTAATCATGATTCTGAGTATGATAAACTCAAAGTATATGATAATCTGATGATATTGTGTAACGGACCCATGGGGCAACTGTCCAAGGACCCAAGAATTCAGTACTTGGTGTTTTTTCAAAGAACTATCGGTATAGTTAAGCTTGGGGGTAAATATGTGATTCTTGGCTGCCTGGCTCCTTGGGCTGGTAATGTTGTGTGCATCGACCAACTAAAAGTTTTGAGGCAGAACATCCTCCAGCGGGACACCCTGCGTATTTCACGGTCTAGCGAACACTGTACGATGAACAAACAACGTCTTCCTAAGCGTGTGAGTTTGCCTGCCGGGCTCCGTGTTTCGTGCATCTTTGACGCTGTTGCGGTCTTCAACGCGAAGCCGTAAGGGAGTTTTCAAAGTAGGTGTTCTCGAGACCCGGGCTTAGGGTTCAGGGTGGGCTCTGTCACGGTTTAGGGTTTTGGGTTTAGGGTTTAGGGTTTAGGGTGTTGTGGGAGGCGTTGTTAGATAGCTAAGCTCGACCAGTCATCAGAAAGTCATCGCCTGGCAAAAGTGCCTTGTTCAGGTTAGTGCTCTCTTTATGTGTCGCCTACATACCCCGCTGAATCCCCATACCTCCTCTGTGAACACAGCCCCTCCAGTTGCGCAGACCACCTACCTCTGCAGATATGACCTTACTTCTACGCTCTTAACATTTAAAGCAGCCTCCACTCTCAATTTCCACCAATTACCATTGGAATCCTCAGTAGCTTAGGAATTGAAAAGGCTCCCTTCTTCATCTCAACTTTTGGAAGAATTTCAGGAACCCCAAGAAAGGTATAGGACAAGCCAGAATTTTAAGCCTAGAATCTCTTCGGACAGCTTCCCGCAGCAGTTGTAGAGCCATGACTCCGGACCCTGCGGGGATCTAGGTTGCTGTTGAGGAACTTAAACCAACATAATATGGCTGCAGTGCATGATACGGCTTCCTTAGAATGGTAACTTTGAAAATCTTGAACAGCCTATAAAACTATAATCCGTATATAGCCCCCAGTTTCCATGTCAAGTTCCATCTTGTTCTCAATTTGCCTCAAATTATATAATGCCCGAACCCAAGAATTCGAGCTTGGCGCTGGTTCAGGCTTGCAGATTTCCATGTCTAGTCTACGACTACGATTTGGCTGAAGCTCTTCTGGGCGTAGGGTGTAGGGTACGGTTTAGGGCTTAGGAGATGATATAAGGTTTTAGGGTTGAAGGCCTTTCTGGGCTGCGGTTAATGAACTGTAAAAACTTACCATAATCTGGGTATGTAGTGGAAAATGGATTGTATTAACTTACTACGTTCTTGAATAGCAAACCAGTTTTGTGTGCATTCATGCTCTCCAGGTTCACGTGCTGACCTGATTTTGTCTTAGGGTTTATAGGGTCTAGGGTTCAGAGCTGCAAAGGCAATTTCAACACATGAAGAAGCGGTAATCAAAGCCCTTCAGATAGGAACGGTTTGTGCTACAATAGACACTTCCATGTTCCCGACTCGACTAGAAGCCAAGCCCAGCAATTTGAGCTAGATTCTTCAAGCTTAAATGGAGAAGATCTCATGAGAGGCCCAGGAACGCGTAAACCCCAAGCTTCAACCCTAACCTCTTGACAGGGTGATTTTTGGAGGCACGGTGTCTGGGTGCGATGGGCTCATGACAGGAGTCCTCAGCCATTGCATCCATTGCTTTAAGCTCCCACATGGAGTTTCTGAAAACTAGGGGTGCCATTTGACAGGATCCCAATCCCAATAAATATCATACTGCTCGAGGGTCTATATCGCGATCCCTTGTTCACGGTGGGTGCACGGAGGATCCTAGAGTTGGGATGAGTTGACGGCTGGCACTACTAGGACCCCAAGCTATCACCGAAGCCGAATGGGGCTCCGGTTGTGGTGTGAGAGGGCTGTATATAAACGGAACTTAGGGAAAACCTAGCCCAAAGAAGATAATGTTTAGAGACTTTAAGGCCAAAGCAAATATTTGTTTTGCAGAATTTGGAGCTTCATGCAGGTATCATGCCAAGGATTCTACACTATAGAAGTAATAGACGTATCCCAGGGTCAGCGTAGTTCCCAGGGAATTGTCCAACCATAAACCCTAAACGGCCCTAAACACTAAACCCTGAACTTCCATAGGCCTCCGTCTTCTTTCCAGAGCCATCTCTCCTTGCTTCTCTTTAGGGTTTAGGGTTCAGGTCTTAAATTTAGAGGCTTTCCTTGACCTCCCAAATACCCATGAGAATGCCCCTCCAACCCCAAATTAGTGGGTATGTTGGCAAAAGTAACTCTAAGTGGGTTTTCGGGTAGCTAGGATATTGGGTTTTGGAGTTTAGGGTTGATTTTAAGCTACCTTGCATTGGGCCGGAAAGGGTCCAAGGACCCAAATAGGAGCTTCCCTAAATGGGCCCCAATATAGGCCCAATGTATTATGAGTAAAGGGACTCCACAGAGCGCCCCCATTTGCCTTGGTCAACCTTAGCGCCCAATTTGAAAAATGGTTGTATACGGGATGCTTATGAAACCAATAAAGGACAATATCTAAATATCCCAGGGTTAGGGTTTTGGGCAATTCAAGTTTCATGCGAAAGGGGCTTTTAAAGGTGGGGAGTAGCATCGGAGCACATTCTGTCCAGCCAGCATGTCCTGGTATTGATGTGAAAAAAGCAGGAGACCCAAACCCATCTCCACTGTGGATGGTTTTGGGTAAAGGATTTATAGTCCCCTTGAAGTAGATAGAATATGGGGTATATGGGGATCTTATTATAATACCCAAAGCCATATTTTTATCTACTTAAGGGGAAATATAGGGTTATGGAGAGAATCTTCACTACACAGTATTCCATATACCTTAGGGATGATGATATGATGGGGGTCCTATGTGGCGCACAATTTCCTCCACCCACCCTAATCACCCAAGCTGGAAGCCCACCTACCAGAATGTCATGGGTCAATCATGAAAGGCATGAAGCTAAATTCCCTTAAGACTAAACCCTAAACCTCTCAAACTCTCCAGTGGCTCTAGTGCTGAGTAGGGAAGGACGGGATGATTGAATAGTCCCCCTTTAGTAGTCCCTTTAACACCCTCTTCATTGCCCCCCAAGCACCAGGGAGAACAAGAGAACACTTCGGGTTTCCTATTCCAAGAGCATCCACAACGTCGTCCCTCCATTTGAATCATCCACTCCCCCTAGATGATACATGTCCCACGGTAGCCCAAGGGATACGTAAATACGCATAACACTCCTGGGAAAGCGTTCATCTGCCTCAGGACCACATGCGCAAACTCAGGAGTTTCCCGAAAAAAGGACACTATGGAATCCTCCTTCGCAACTAGGATCCTCCTACTATGGCATCTTTGTAATTCCTATGTACGGAATGATGCTAGGAGTTTTAAAAATGCTGCAGTTCTAGGTAGGGTCATATCCTCGGTAAACGTATCTCCTACGTCTCATGAAAACCCTAAATGGTAGTTCCCAAAATAAGGGGACCCCAATATAGACCCCCATATACTATAGTCCTTATTGGGACCCCCCAAAATGGCAACCCTAAGTTTGGGAAATCCCTAAATCCTAAACCCTACTCAGATCACAGGCAGGCATCAAATGGAGGCTCTCCGAGTCCAGTCTATGCGCCTGAAAGTCAGCTTAATTAGGGTTTCAGGGGACTTAGTGTTCCAAAGGGTCTATGCAACAGAGTATATGATACTTTGGCCCTTGCGCGGTTCCCATGGTACTACGTTCGGGCCCAAGTATGTACATTTTATGGCTAAATAGACCCTTAGGGTAAGTAGCGAACAAATTTTGGTTGAAAGTCACCCAATTGGGGTTAGTTTGTTTGAGCCCCTGTATAACCTACTTGCTAAGTCTCCTCAGCCTTCACGGAGGGTTTCAGGTTCGCGGTCCCTTCTCACTGCTTGCAGTCAGGGGTCCATGTCAAGGTTTCTCATATAGGGCGGCAGTATGGTTAACGGTTAACCCTAAACCCTAAACCCTGAAAGCTAGTTGTATGGAGGGTCTCCAAAAAACAAGCGACTGCGTCTTTGCATTCCCCGCAGTATGGATTCACGTTCTTTGCGGGTGTATGTCGTGGCCGCCTACTGATGGAAACCTGCGCGTGCGATTTTAGCGCCGCAGGCGTTGTTATACTGTTGATAATGAAAACCTGCATGACGTTTGTATACTATAGTACCATAGGTCCCAAGGTATAAGGTACGTAGGATCATGCAGGACTTAATATCCACCGTAGGTCCACATTCTTTCTCAAAATCGCACGTCCGCATTGAAGGGCTTAAGTTGGCTTAAGGGTTCAGGGTTTGAGGCTTGCAGGGGGCATGCACAAGGGGATCCTGCTCATAAATGCACGTCTTCATAAGTGCACACATGGGGAGTTTCTCAGACTAGTTGTGTCCATGGGAACCCTAGGATATACCAGCATTGTAGCACAATCATAGGCTTTCGCTTCGAGGATGTCCTGCCTACGGTTCAAGAGGACCCAACCCATCCCGCTATCACAACCCCGAAATCCCGAACCCTGTCATTAAATCCGGAACCCTTAACTTTGAGCCAACCCCTGTTGCGTTGCATGCCTCGAAGAGGTCAAAGGGCATAAACGGAGGAGTCAATGTGCGCCAGCCAGGGAATCCAAAGAAATGTATTGCCGGCACCGCAAAAGCATTCCTTACGGTTTTGGGTTGCCGGAGTGGCTCGGGTTTTAGGGTTTAGGCTTCAGGGTTGGGTGGTTAAGGCTTAGGGTTTTGGGGTCTACCTGGAACAACTGTAGGGCATACCGCCCAAACCTAGTACCATTACATATGAGGGGAATATCTTTCATTAGGGGGGTGGAGGTGGGTTATCATTGGGGAGATGGGGTCAACAGCGAGTCCGGCCCCTTTTAAACCACCCAAGCCTCGACACCTTGATACACCCAAGCAAGCTCCTCCAACAAACGCCCCGCTTAGGTTGAAAGACGAGGTCTCACACGTCGTCCATGGGTCTGTTAAATTTGCCAAGATGCAAGTGTAACCTACAACATTTCTGAAGCCCTGACCTAGACACTGAACCCTATACCCGAAACTGCATCCCTAACGGGAGCCAGGCAGCGGATCACTGAACATGCTGCTGTTGTGGTCCATCTTGGCCTTAATTGCCAGGGAATCAGACTCAGGATTCAGAGTGTAGCTAAGGAATAGGGTGAAGACACTCCCTTTCCATCTCAGCCTTGCATTGGAAGGCCTAAGGACCTATCAACGAAGGCGAGCACCCTAGCATACACACAATGTCGTCTCTAGACTTGTCAGTGGGGTTGCTCCGTTGCTCCTCCCACAATGTAGCTGAAGACTTGAACTGTGGGGGTCCACTGCCAGACTGACCAACAATCCTGCAGGCTGAAACAGCTGAAGGTATCTCATATATCTCCGAAGCACGCCTCCAAGATGGCCCCAAGGCCTGTCGAAAAACCTGCCAACCGTAAACCCTAAACCTACCTAGGTGTGGATATATAGGACATCATGTGGGGTAACAGATCGGAGGATTAAAATGGACAGGGAAGTGAAAATGGAATGCAAAACCTGAGGTTACATAAGGCTTTATGAGGATTAGGAATGACGGGGCCTGACCAATGATCTTTATCAGTTTGAGGTCTGTTTGAGGTTTGCTATACCATGAACTACCATGAGATATAACCACTGCATCCCCACAGAAGCTACAAATCCAGACCCTAAACCCCAAGCCCTAAACCCTAAACTCTAAACCCTAAACCCCAAACCCTAAACCCTCAACCCTCAACCCTAAACCCTAGAAACCCCTAAAATCCAAGGGCCCCCCTTGGCGAGCCGCCGGAGTGATTAGCAGTTTCCGAGAACGGCAGAGGCTGAAAAGCGTCTTGGAATGCTCCACGGGAATCCTGAGGCACAAGCAAGAAACGGTTTAGGGTCTAGGGTTTAGGGGCTAGGGTTTAGGGTTTAGGGGCTAGGGTTTAGGGTTTAGGGCCTAAGGTTTGGGGTTTAGGGTTTGGGGTTTATATTAGGGTCTGTGGTTTAGGGTAGGGTCTCAATCAACAATGAATGCTGAAGATACTTACAATGGGAGGTACACGCCTCTGTAGCCATGCCCCAGATGGCTTAGAAAATTAGGGTGAGAGGCCCTTGCAAATCCCAAGGCTTTCTTTGGAGTAGATGATGTGAAGGGGTTGTAATCGGATTCGACAAGTACCTTGTACAGACTAGATTTCAGCAATCCGGAAAACTTGCTTGGAAGTTTATTAGATAAGGAAAGGGGCCTCGCGTCTCAGTATTTTGGGTTTGGGAGCTGTGGGCTGCAACGCTGAGGCCATGGAGTTCATCAAGTCGATTATAGGTTTAGGGTTTAGGATGTAGGGTTGGGGGTATAGCTATGCGGATTTCATTTTGAGCGGCTGGGGTACCCGAATCTTTTGATTACCAACCATGACGTTATATAACCCTAAATCCTGAACAAGTATAGTCCCAGGTAGTCCCCATCAGGCTCTGCATAACCTACAGGGTTCCCGATTAGGCCCACAGACTTAAACTCCCCACCATCTCAAAACAAAAGACTACCATTATCATGCTAGGCAGCCCTGATTCCTATACCCCAAATCCTATGCCCTTAACTACAACCAACCCTAAACACTAAACCGGCCCAAAATACAACCAGCTAGCTCAAAGAGTCAGACTATCACTGGCGCCGTGGATAAACAGCACGGGGCAGGAGACGTTGACCATCCTCTCAGGGCTTCTCAGTATATCAGCTAGGTTTAGGGTTTAGGGTTTAGGGTTTAGGTCCCTAAACCCTAAAACCTTTAGAGGGAAACTGTGCAGGACACCCTAGCTTAGACAGAACGGATCTAAAGTCAGCCAGCCACATGCTCTTTCTGTCAGATGTCTGCATGTCCCGATTTGGATCTTGTGAACATGGTCCGGAAGGTGTGTAAGCCCTCGCCACTACGGTGGATACTAAAAATCCTGCATGCAGGATTTTTAGTATCAACAGTATCAACTTTCCCCGAGGGAATTTCGCAGCGGCCGGCCTCTTATGGTTCTGAAAGACGTTGCTGAACATGAACGCAACTAATCCTGCGTTGCACTCGAAGAGCTTTCAAAAACTTGTCAGGTTACACCCTACATACAAAGCCAATGACAACGAAAAAACTGCTTGACAAATTGCGCAGTGGGGACCTAAATCCTTGGAAAACCAAAAACTGAAACAGCTGGCCAAACCAAAGTCCAAGATTCTGCCGCCAATATGCTTGGCTGCAGCACGTATAGAGATGAAGGGTGACACCAATATCATGCCTCCAAGAGGATACCTTGGAAAATCAGAAGCTGCAGGACTTATGTAGGGGTCTGGATATTAGGATTCAGGTTTGCGTCGTAGGCAAGCGCCCAAACGGTGCATGTAGCTATATAGTACATACTTGGGCCCTAAAGTAGTGGTATGGGACGCCTGGTCCCCAAGTATATACCATGTAGCTACATGGATCCTGTGGGAAGGCTTGAGGTTATTTGGGTGAAGTTTGGGCATACTCCCTACAGCCGCCATCACATTTTCAAGACTCTCCACACCTCATTCTCAAACCCCCAGAGTAATGTAAACCCAAGTCATCACAATCTGATCATAAACCTTATGAATCCTTAACCCAAGACTCTAGAGGGACCAGTATACCCCAATTACGGATTATTTGTAGGGGGTTACATGAAGATTATTCCAAGATATTCTTCTAAAGCTATATACCCTAAATGAGACAGGCACCCAAACGCATGGGTTAACGTAAATTCATTCAATCTAGGCGTGATGGGCTCCCAGGTGGACCCTACTCAATGTAGTGCCTTCTCCATACCTCCCCAAACGTCTAAAATCAGGGGTATCGTGCTTCCTTGGCCTAGCTCCTAAATGAAGCTCTAGTCACTGCGATGCCAGAAAGATCGCTGGTCCGCTTCCCAATGATCTTCCAAAAACCTCAGGTAGGATTCAGGGTTCAGGTTGAAGGTTTTTTTGGCGCTTGGCTTGAATCAAGTAAGTATATCTTCCCCCTGTAAGATACCACACCACCTGGAGGATATAATCGTACCCTATTTGGAGACATTACCACCCCCCCCCCTCCCACAAAAAAAAAGAGAAAAAAATCAGGTAGTATTCAAGGCTTCAGGTTTACTGCTTTGGGTTCAGAGCTCAGGGCCCAGGGTTTAATAGGATTTCCCTAAACCCAAAGCCTTTTTGGGCTCAGCACAGGTCCTGGGGTGCACGGTGCGGCCTTATTGCAGCTTGTTGCTTGCTGCCACTCTGTTTAATCTAACTATACGGTACCTGACTGTTCAAAACCTAAGCCTGAAATTCGCAAGGCCCAATACGCACAAGGCGTCAGTCAGCATTCAGGTGGTTAAGGGCGATTCCTGGATCGTCTGAAGTTCGGAAGAAAATCTTGAGAGGATTTAAGTACCATGGCAATTTTACCTAAAGGCCGAATTCCCAGCTTCGGGTACTACCCCCGGCCACTAACAGCTTATAATAAGGGACTCTGACGGGCCGTGTATACTTTTTCTGCGAATATCATCCAAACTGTTACTGGGTAGGGGCAATACCCAGCCTAAACTCTAAACCCTCAATCCTAATCCCCCACCCATCTCTATGAGGAAGAGCCAGGAATCCTCAATCATTATGCCTGCTTCATTCATCCCCCCTCCCAACAATAACTCACCCCAAGAATAGTATTCCCCGGAATCAGTACCATCATATACTAGGTTCCCCAGTAACCCATTATTAATAATGGTACCCTTTTTCCTACTGCCCGTTCCTACTGTTCAATTTTAAGGAACCCCCAAAATAAAAAGGGCAAAAGGGTACTATTGGGGTACCTAGTATACTAGGGAGGGTGGGTGGCTGTCTTCTAGGCGGCGGTTATGGATGCCTAAGGGTGCATGGACCCATAGGGAAAGTACATAGCCGAGCTGCTATGACAGAAGAATAGCTGACTCTCAAGTCATCCACAAGATATCTGAAAACTGTCCTTGGCTTGCGTCGGGCTTATAGTCCCCCTTAAGTAGATAGAATATGGGGTATATGGGGATCTTATTATAACTACCCAAAGACATATTCTATCTACTAAGGGGGACTATAGGGCTTTGGGCTTTAGGGTTTAGGGTCTAAGGCCTTGCAGAGCTTCTCCGACAAAACAAGGCCATGTCACAAACAAGACATCAACATAATCCTGGGTTGCTGTTAAGGAACTTGAATTAAGTTACTATATTGGGGAAACCCCATTATTTACTATATATACCCATTATGGTAAACTAATTTAAGTTCCTGCCTAGACCATCATTTGATACATTTAATTCCGCTCGTAAATAAATCCGCTCGTTTGGGGTTCCTAAGTGACACCCAGAATCATAAAACCGCCCGCTAAATCCCAAAAGTGCACGCACACAAGTGCGCGTGGAGCTGGCCGCGATGATTTTCACTCAGCTGGCACCGCTGCTTGACTGCACGTGGGGGCCTCCTACGAACCAAACTGCTGCATATGCTGGCGTCGGTAGAGCATTAGCACTCGGCTGATCGTCCGAGTTGTAGTTGTAAAGCTATGCGTGCGCCGCGATATGCGTGAGCAGCGGCCCACAAAGTCTTCATCAGCCCAACAGCTGTAGCCTTCAACTGCGCCCATAGGCTTTTAAAAGCCATGCTGTAAACCGAAAACCCTAAACATGGGCAATACCAAGTTAGCCCAGGAACTGTTGGCGTTCAATATCCAATCAGCTCCACGATCCAGCTGCTCCTCCACCTCGCGCCTTGGCACATCTGGATGGGAAATGCTATAGCTAGATCTGGCACTGCCGATGACTGATTCAATGAAAACTACTTAAAGATTTCTTGGTTAAATAATCGGATCAGGTCACAGAAGGTGCTGTTGCATGTGGAGTTTTGGACGCAACCTGCACATAGGCCACGACAACTCCGCTGTGTACTTTGCTAAGAGGCCATAGCCTTCCTTGGATCATGCAACTTGAGTTCCTGGATAAGGCTTCTGAGGCTAAAGCGCTTATTCGGTACAACCCGTGGACCCCTAGACATCATGCAATGCTAAAAGTAGACGGGGAATATATTAGATGAATGGCAAGGTTCCAACATCTTGTATCCGGATTCAAGTGCTAGCTGGGCCTCCTTCCGACCAATCCAGATTCCGTGGGCAAAGACCGTGCGCCAGTGTATGTTCACAGCAGTCATAGTCCACTTGAGCAACTTGAACAGGTTCCGAAAATTTTCCTGTAGTCTTCGAAGCCAAGAAATGAATATTATGGGGTCCAAATCATATTGGTACACGTACATTATGTGAACATAATCGTTTGTTTGAAATCATATATGCAAGATGCATCGATTGTGGACTCATCCACATGCGCAAGCTCGTCGTTCAGCCAAGCTCCGAGAACCGCAGTGTCGAAACCCTTTCCGCATCCTGCTGGATACTGTCGCAACCTCGATCTATATTACCGGAACCCTAAACCCTAAACCCTAGTTGTTCGAAATATCTTTTAAAGTAGCTATAGGAACCCGGCCTAAACGCTAAACCCTGAACCCTAAACCCCTAGATTTTTTTGAGGGACTGCTATGCACATATAGCGCTATATATAGGATCCCTTTTTGCAAGAAGCGATGTTCGCCAAACGATATGCCAAGCGACGTCTTCACTTTAAAGGTTTTGAGCGAAAGTTCCGTCAAAGAAGTGCTCTTCCCGTGTTGTTTGCACCAGGCCTTCAACCGACTAAATGCCTCATTTAGCCGCGCTTGGCAACCCCCCAAACCAAACAGTCGAAGACGAGCCATGAGGAGCAATGAGGAGGCAGCAAAGTCCTTACCCCAGCCAATCGCGTACGTGTGGCAAGGGTCCGGCTTTATCCAAATTGCATCAGCTGAAGGCAGAACGCGAAACGCGGATATCGGACGAACCTTGAAAGGGCTCGCCATTTCCCCATCACTGGGCCATTCTCTGACGCTGCTGGAGGGCCCCAAGTCATACCAATCCTAGCCACATGGCAGGTTAACAGGCAAGGTTCCTGGGCTACCCACTATGTCTAAGCCCGCTATTAAACCCTAAACCCTAAACCCTAATCAGGCTCATTACCAGGGGTACAGTTATATTAGCTGGGGGTATAGACTTAGCCTATTGATGTTATTATAATAGCTAAGAGTCTTCGCCGGGGCACAGGTGGCATTTGCGGTTTGAAGAAAACCCAGTTTTCAAATGCATTGCTTTTCGGAGAAAAGGCCAGTCGCCTTTTAAACAAATCGGTACCAACCTGAAGTTGAATGATTGCCCTCGCCATGATACCTCGGTTTAGGCCCACAAATATATACATGTATCAGCGAGATGGGTGAATTCAAACACGTATACAAATATTAATATTAATACCGCAAACAAAGTACGGCAAACCCATTGTTGTACAAACCGAGCAAATCATCTGCCATGGCTTGATGCAGTCCATCAAGTGTATGGTCACCGTGGTAAAGTTGGCTTGGCACCACTGTAAAAAGGAGCCGTGTTGTGAAAGAATGCCTAGGCAATAAGCCTAGCTAGGTTTTCGGATGGGGTCCACTATGATCGGGTACACAAATCCACGAAACAAGCTGCAAAAAGTACAATTTTCCAAGCTAGTTGTGGTGCCCGCTCGCGTTCGTGAAGGCAGTGCCTTTGAAGGAAATGACAGGCTGCCAGGCTTCAACCATGATTGGCCGACGAAGCTTCCCTCGACCTTCATCTCCATGCACTGCGATCGGAATGCAGAAGGACTTGTCGAAGGTTTTCTGGTACAGGTCCAGGCTAGGCCGAACAAGCCGAAAGCGCGCCCAAAACTGTGACAACATGGCTTGGAACTTTTCCGGCTCATCTAAGCTGTGACCACCCAGGAGCATCCTTCCTCCAGTAGAGAATACTTGTTGGGTCCAAGAAGACGGTAACAAAACTGGGTAGTTGACAGTTACAATCTGTGGCTTCCCTCGAAGTAAACGTACCGGAATTTGCACAACGCTGACCTTGACAGGCAGCGTCCGCCCCGTCTTGTGTATCAGAATGTGCAAATTTCTGCAGACATTTGCCTCATTGTTTCCGCATTTTCGAATGAGGTCCAGAACGGGATCAACGATACCTGCGAACTTATTGCGCATGTACAGTTTGGGCAATGCATGGTGTTATAGCACATACGTAATAATATAATGCGAATAATACACGTACGATACCAAACACATCATTGGCCAACCTGTACGTGCAATTCCATGCAATAAATTTTTGCAGGGCTGCATGGGTACCATAGAATATTCCAGAAGGGCCTCGTCAAAGGATTTGGGACCCAGATGAACCTAAGCTATAATGCAATTGAGCTTCCAGGGCAGGCACCCACAATGGAACCCCCGGGCCTATAATGCACATATATAGATTATAATAATATATATATATACCTATACCCCGGCCTATTCCTCAATGGTTCATTTTGGGGGGTTCGATTTTTGTGATCTGTTATATAGGGGGCCTGGGTGAATGGTCATTTGGGAACCTGGACCATGCAACCGAGATGTCAATACGCGTAATGGATCCCTAAACCTCTATAAACCCTAAACCCTACCTAGACCCCCAGGTACCTAGCCTTAAACAGGGTCTGTGTAATTCCTATATATATTTTTGTAAATACATATGGGTTTTATAGAGGGGTACTTGGGGGGTCTAGGCAAACCCTAAACCCTAATAGGACTTATCCATGTTGGAGGCCCAGGCAACCACAACTCCCAAACCCTCATCAAATCCAGAGGCTTCCTGCATGATCATGTAGCTTGGGGCAGTATAAGATCGATACCCCCAAAACTCCGACACTCTTCGTAGTCTAAAGCCATAATATAGTCGGGATGCCATGTTTTCTGAGATTCCTGGAAGCCACAGCCGCCAAGCGAACCACTCGACGCGCTGATTCCGCCTTAACTAGATCCTATAGAAGTCCAAAAGCATAACCAAACTCGAAGATAAATTGATCAACCACCAGAACTGCATCAAAGAAGCTCCCTGCTCAAATCCCATGAACAACTCCTCAACAAGGTTATCATCATCATCATCGCTGTCCGAATCTGTGCCTGGCAGGACTGGGCCAATAGGTTGTTGGGTGTAGCGCGCAGCAGCTTCCAACCTCCATCATTGTCATCAGTAGAATCCAGTAGGCCTGCGCAGGCAGCACATGCAAAGTATAGGTGCCACGCATGCATGGCAGTCTCCTGCAATTGTGTCGCGCAAATCTGTCTTTTTCGAGCCATGTAGCTTGTATGGATAGCAGATACCCCAAGGGTAGAGCATGTTGTCAAACAACACGCTGACGTTCAATTAAACAGCAGATATCGTGCATCTGCGTGGGGCTGCACAACAACGATGGCCACATGAGTTTGACCATATATTATATGTGCTGCAATTCCATCATTGAGGGTTCCAAGCTAAATCATACAGCTCTCGTTGCATGGCGAGTCCCCTGAGGCTGCAAAAGGAACCTAGCCATCAAGCAGCCAAGACTCCTTAGGAGGTCTTGGCCTTGCCCTTGCCTGCTTTTGCAGGCTTGGCACCCTTCTTCTCTTTCTTTTCTTTTTTTGATTTCTTGTTCTTCCCCTTGCAGGAGGGCGCAATCGATCCCGGCCCCTTGGTGGAGCTTCCCCGCTTCAGCGACCTGAGCAAAGCAGAGCTTGGGGAAGGGATGTAGGCAAGGGCTGGGGAAATGTTTGGTGTTAATTAAGCGAATGTCGGGTTGGGGATTGAACAGATAGATATAGTGTTAATGGGGCCCCGTAGTTGAGCAATATTCCTACCCACGCGGTCTAGGGTTTTAAGGGTTGAGATGGGTAAGATACCGTGACTTACAAGGGTCCTTTCTACTTAACCTATAGGGGATATTTTGAAAAATCAATGGTGCTTTCCGGCTTGAGGTCGTGAGAAAGACGTGGTTGACAGGGATTTTGCAAATTTACGGCTTATAACAATTTGCATATACT